ATAACGTAATAAGAACATGACTAAAATAATCGTTTTAATTCCGTGTTACGTCAAAAAGCCATTTTGTAAGAACAACACGTCAATTAATCATGTAGAACATTCCACGAGCGTGTTCCCAGAAAATTGCTACATTGCCAAGTTGTGCCCATAACATAACAGCCATGGATTTTATTGTAGAACTTAGTTCAATAAACCCATATAGGTTAGTAAGGTCAAACGAATAAGTTTCCACGAAGCTACTGCGTTCGCAAGTACAGCGAATGGAATATTTTTTGAAATTCCAAAGACTAGGGAAGGTTTAAAGGCTAAATTCGCGTAATGAATGCTGAAAAACAAAAGTGGGGCAGCCTGCAATGCCCTGATTTTGCTCTGCATCGCTCGCACTGTTAGTACTATGGAAATTCGCTTTGATTTTATATTCTCTGTGGTATGCGGTGTATTTCATCGGAATTGCAGTACCTATGACCTCTACCACCTCTATACCTCGAAGGTATATACCTATATACCTTCGAGGTGATGACGTCAAATGGTCGGATGTAAATTCGGCTACTTACATTAACATTTCTAGTACGATTTCTTGGAAATACCTACGTTCAATCTTGTAAAATGTCACGTAACTGCAATCGAAATGAGTGCCAACTGTTTATTTTATTTGCAAGTACATTTCGTAAAACAGATTGCTTCGTTAGATCTGTTATTTAAAAACATTTCACGGATATTTTTCGAAAAACTTTAGTAGGCCTGTATATGGTAAGCTTCTATGTTTTATTCAGTGGCTGTCTATTTTTAGTATCAAAGGCACGCTGCTTTCAGCTTTACAGCGCTTTAAAGCTGAAAATAGCCTCTACACCCGTAATAAGCGGTTGATACGTGTGTGGCCACAAAGATTCTTACTTTTTAACATTTATACAGATGTAAATTCTCGGTTTTTTATCGATGGTATGCTTTTACCAAACGTTAAGCGCAGAATACTACAGGCCAGTTTCAGACTCCTACTGACATAATTATCTAATTAAAAATAATAAATTTGATTAATTTTAAATTCAAAACTAATAAAAAACAAACTTAAACCATACAAAAATCAAAAAGAAAAGTAAAAGATATTTAGCATAAGATAAAAACTAAAAACTTAAGACAATTGTTATGTATGCTATTACTCGTAATATAAAGAATGCACAATTAAGTAATGTAGTTTTTATTTATTAGGAACAACGATACATGTAGGTACATATATTATAAACGAGTTAAGAATAATGATAATATGAGTACGCAATTTCGTTCGTGACATAAGACCCAAGAAGAATGTTCCTCTCATACTCCCATAGGTGGCGCACTGATAACGTTTAGAAACGTTCATCGTTCAGAAACATTCTAACAGTAATATAATAATTTGTGCAACACTGACAATTGTATTTTTGTGTCAATAAAAATATTACCATTTTATTATCTGGCAATCTTTTTGCATATTTCGGGTAACCCCTAAGGTCAGAGCGGTCACACGATAGTTCGTGAGCTCACACCAATTTGTTTTAGTCATAACAGTAAAATATGAACACGTCTGTCCGTCTGTCACGGACTAAATTTTATTACGGTAACGATTCCATTGTTTGAAATATCAACAGTTCTCAAAGGAATATTCTGACCGATTTGTCATGATCGATTCCTTGGTTGTAATCGATTACGATTATTTCTATTGATATATCGAATCAGTGTAATGTAAAGTTATTGAGGATTCACGGATTCACACGTTTTTTTCGTGGTTTCGTTTTGATTGTGTAAATTGTTAATGGTTTAAAAGTGATCGAGTAGGTTGGTCTCTTTTCTATATTGGTGATTTACTTAACCATATTATCTAAGGTGACTTCACTCTTTTAGTGATCACCAGGACGAAGATAATCATCAAGGTTGGTTTCAAAATAATTGTTTTTCCAAATACTTTACCTCGTTAGTATAGTCAGATTTTAATTTCAGAGAAGGTCTAAAATATGATATTATATGATAGCTTAATTAATGTATTGTACCGATCTGATCTGATCTATAATTTCATTAGCTTCCAATTGAAAATAACTGTTACAATAAATACATAAGCTTCAATTTTCAATAAACTTTAAGTTTGCTGAACAATATTGAATAACATTAGTCAGGGAAGGCAAATGTAATAAAAAGTAGATAGACCTATACAAGTGTCGTCCGGTGAAGCTGGACCTTGATTATTTTTTAGTCTTTCTTCATGGGAACTATTGATGTGTTCCGAGTGGCCAGGAAATAGTAGAAAAGAGGTAGGATATAGTACAACATGAAGAGATAAAGCTAACTTATTAACCGCTTGAATGCACCGATATGAGACAAAATAGAAAATCCACACACACACGACGGGTTAAAGAACAAATTCCAAATTCTCATAACATCACCATACAATGGAAGGTCGATAACTACCTTTATTCTAAAATATAACATTTTTTCATAAGAAACGAATGCAGTATTACTAAACAAAGCATATTTCTAACACTAAGAATTTAAAATCAAAAAGCCCAAGTTCTAAAAAATCAACATAACAATAGATGTTTTGATAATACACCTAATTAAAAAAGAATTCACGAAAGTTAAAAATAATTCCAATAGTCATTTCCTAAAGAGGAAAGCCCATAAGAAACGGATGACCCACCTCTCTAGATCTCACGATAAACCAAAAGCTGGTATCATTAGAAAAGATTCAATATCGATGGTCTGAGGAAAGCGAGATCGCTCTAGTGGTTAATGATCAGTCATTACTGTCAAATTAAACGTGTCAGCCTATGGAAAGTGTCATCCGAGTCGTTTTTCTTGCGAGAGAATACTTTCCACGCGTAAGCGCAGCCAGGAAAAGCTTTGGCCTAGTCTAGGAGTTTGCTGTGATAAATTATGTGTCATCTGTAACTTGTGTGTGTTGTACCTACCTATATTTATGTTTTTTTAGGTATTATTCTAAATTAAGTTTTGTTCTTAATTTTTATGAGAATTGAATGCTTAATGTTTTGTAGTACATACATTACAACAAAGTGACAATTATATAAAATTGAATGGCTCGTCAACTTTATCATAAAGTAATCTTCCGTACTACTGTAAGTAAAGCTACATATTTTCATCCGATATTGATATCATTAATAAAACACATACAGTTTTAACACTATTAGAAATCAATAAAAACACTAAAATCTAGGCTATTAATTTCACACAAGATCCGAATCCCATTAAAAGTTTAACACCAAGGTTAAAACGGACATGTAGTGACTCAACTCGACTTAAGGTCAAATGTTACGAAAAATATAAAACTTTAGGGGGTGCAAAATGAAGTACCGTGTCAGTTACATTTATTTAAAGGTGAACCAGGGGTGTTAGGTCGTGTAACTTGATTAACTCAATGGTCAAAGACTTGATTATAATTCAGATTTAATCATCATAGTAATTAAAAAAGCTATTGTCATGCACAGACCACAATTCCAGACTCTGTGTTATTGTTTTTACAGAAAAAAACAGATAACCTTTTACAGTCCTTTACTCGACAGTAATCTCTCTCTTCTACCTTTTACACTAAGACACACAATTTAATATTCCAATCTGAATCCACATGAGTAGGAATAGGGTGGTTTTTAGTCAGTAAGAGTCTGACACTCTCTCTCGCCTAACCCAAAGCGAAAGAAGTCATTGGATGATATCCCCCCCTCAAAAAAAAATCTGAATCCATTCTTAAACTAAATCCACAAGACATCATGAAACATCAATGGCATGATAAAGAATCTCATCTATCTAGCTCTCCGCCTATATGTACCGGTTACTATACTACTAGAGCTCGTACAGTGTGGATTGATCTACTTTACTTTAATTACTGTATACCTATTTATTGACGTGTAAATTCACTTTCGAATTTATTATGATCGTAAACATTCTCGTTAAGTTTGTTCCTATTTTGGTACCGATGAAATACTGCTGAAATATCATCAACTCATCATCTACAGCCTATGAATACCCACTGCTGAGCAAAGCCTCTTCTCACACGGAAAAGGTTTGAGCAATAATCACCACGCTTGCTCAACGTGGGTTGGCGATTACAAACTTATAATTAGAAATTATAAGCCCAGGTTTCCTCACGATGTTTTCTTTCACCGTTTTGTCAGTGGTGTCTAGATAATCTTAGAAAGTACATATAACTCGAAAAAAGACACATTGGTACTTGCAGCTGGTAGGTTTCGAACCCATGCTTGAGATGCGGGTGTCTTAACTCTTTGAGTACCGTCATTATAGACACAATTAAAGAACAATAGGTTGCGGTCACCGGTATTCTCGCGGTGTTTGACAGTTTAAACCTCCAGACAACCACGACATTTTACATGACCCAAAAAAAATGAAGTATGAATTGATTCA